CTGAGTGTTATCTGGACATATATAGTTTCAATCAAATTCTTTAAGAAGTGTCAGAATAAAAGCTGAACATTTGTTTGACACTGCCAAGTCACTAGCAAATGGGTCTCTTCAAGGGCTGAGGCTCCCCTTGGCGACCCGGCAATTATTACAACAAAAAGGAGTTCTTTTCCTACTCTCAAGAAAAATAAATGAAGCACAGTTAAACACCAGCTTTGAATTTTTGTCACGTTTTTTGATATATAGGAAATCATATAAATTTATAAAAATGTCTCCTAGCAAAAATAAACTTAAATATTCTGTTCCTCAGCTGAATTCCTTGAAATTATCAAATCTTTTTTACATATCTGAAATGTTACATGTAACAAAAAGATGATGGTATAGATGATAAAGAGTTGTAAACTGAATCAGAGAAAAATGTTGAATCTTTGACTTAAATGTAAAAAATACCTGTCCAAACACAATGAAATAAATAACTGGCTTATTGCCTATACTGCTCTCCTTCGTCATAAAAAACAAACCAAGCTTAGTCCATGATAGCAGTCTCCCATGGAGATGATCATTTGTCATTCTTTACAATGTAATGAATCTCTCTGATTCATTGATGTACAATGAATTCATCAATGTAATGATGTAATTTCATCAAGGGTCAGAAAGGAACCAGGGATATTAAGAGCCATTCCAGTTATTATACACCAAATAGACAATGATTCGCAATTGCACCAAATCAAGACTTGCAGCAATTTGGTTCCCAGCTCCATTTCCAGCTCCATCATCCTCATTCCATCCAGCCTTACCTGGCTCATGCCTCCTTTCTTTGAAGGAGAAGCCCTGCCTTTTCCTGCTTAATCAGAGCTGGATGCAAAAGAGGGCCAATGAGTTCTTGCTGGTTTCATTACTGCTGTCCTCCTACACTCTTCCACTTACTTAACCAAATCTACTCATCTTGCCTGGCCCACATTATTCCCCCACTTTGACAAAGCCTTCTGGACTCCCCTTTAACACATCAGTCTTCCTTAGATCTCCAACTGATTGAACTTTGATCGCACCATGAAATTGAGCACTTGGTTGTTACATTCTGATGTATTTGTTGTGGTTTAATGTATTGTTAGTCCTGTTAATAACAGGGGCTACCTCTTATACATACCTTTTCATAGAGTCTAGGTGAGGGCCCAGCACATCAAATTCCAGAGCTTGTCATTAACAGGAACTGCTCCTTCCTAGCAACTGGGTAATTCTCTGAGCCATACTAGACTTCTTGTCATTTCCTGAACATACAATGTCCTTAAATGTCTTTATGTCTTCTCCCTTTCCTATGCCTATCAGAATCTTAAGTCCTTACAAATCCTTCCATTAATCTTTCCTCAATCCCCCATGTCAGACTTAATTGCTTTTTTTCTCTGAGCTTCTTGTTCTTTTTATACATAAAAAGAGAACTTTTTATTTTGCTATATAATATAAGAGTTTTCTAGACTGTGAGCTCCGAAGCCAAACCAGGTCATGTTCATTTTATATTTCAGTACTTAGCTCAGTGTCAGGCACACAGAAGATAACAAATATTTGCACATGAATAAAGTTATAATTTCATTCTCCAATTAATCACATAGTATCTTGCTAACTTCTTTGGTTTAATCTTGGCATTTTCATAAAGGCAGGCAAGAAATGTCTATAAAACTATTCAATAGATTCTGGATTTGACCCAATTAAATACATTTTGTGGTTTTGCTTAATATTTTATTGTATTTCAATATTTATTTAAGTTTCCCTGCAGCATTGTTCATAAAGTAAAAAACTGGAATTATCTAAATGTCCAGCAAAAGAAGAAATAATTTCAACACTTTCGCAGAGAAAGATTTAAATTATAACCTATTAGGTTCTATTTGCTCTGTATTTAAAATAATTACTCATTTCTTTGATGCATTTACTTGATATTCATTTTCAGCATAACTCTCTCATCTGGTTGGTAGAGTTTATTTTTCATCATTTACTAAAGTTTGTTCTTTAGGTTATAGTAAGTGAACACATTTAAAAAAAGAATGTAAGATGAATTAAAATAATTTCACATGTATTATAGTTTATATGGACACCAACCTTTCTGCATATATACAACTGGTATACACATGGGGCATGCTGCAGTACATATATATATATACTTTAGTGGTTAAGGGCACAGGTTCTGGACCCTGGCTGTGCCACAGCTACTAGCTGTGTAATACTGGGGATGCCTCTCTGTGCCTCAGTCTCATCTATAAAATGTAGAAACGTACCTACCTCATAGGGCTACTGTGAGAGTTACATTAGCTCATACACATAAAGCACTTAGGACAGTATCTGGTACATACTAAGTGCTCAATAATGGCTTGGCTGCTAGCATCATCATTGCCATCATCAGGATTCTGATCATTATGAATAGAATTTTAGGGAGTAAAATTTGTTCAAGCTTGCTTTGCCTAATTGCTGTTTTAAAAAAATGCTCTTCCTCTGTTAGTTTGCTTTGCTTTTAGAACCAGGAAACTAATCAGGCTGTGTTCTTTAACAATGGAACAGGCTCCCTCGTGAGGAGTGAGCCGCATTGCGGTTACTCTACCAAGGCTGGAAAGTGATTTGCTGTAAGAGCTACAGTGCTGATTTCTGCACTGGAGGGAGCTTAAAAGAGACTGAAAGGTCCGAATCTAAAAACAATCACATGGATCATTCTGAAGTTCCTTTCAAACTCCAAGATTCTGTGATTATTACTCGGTTATCGCGTGCAGTGTTAAGCAGCAGCCTTGCCAGGAACCTGCTGTTACAATCTGATCTGAGGTGAAAGCTAACACTTTCACTGAAAAACAGAAATCTTTAATTTCCTCCTATGTTCTGAACAGTGAATTTCCATAGCAGTAAACCAAGTTTGGTGAGTGACTCAAGTCTCTCTGCAATTCTAGAAAGGAAATTGTGAAACTATCGGTTTGCTTATAAAGTACTTCCAGTTTGCCAAAAGAGGGAGCCTGGGAGCAGAAAGCATGTTGGTCCAAGGCTTTTAAAAAATACTTGTTTGGATTTCACATTTTAGTTTTTATTTCTTTTGCAAGGATAGGTTGGACTTAACAGTTACAGCCAACTTTTTCTTTTTAAGACTGTCTTAAGACAGGAGGGTCAAAGATTGAAAACATAACTTCGAAAGGTCCCCCCGTATTCCCCCACACTAAACACTCACCTTATGCCTGGCTGCCACACACCAAATGCTCTAATTAAACTGTTCTCATTAAAAGGAAAGGGAAGAGGAGCTAAGCCGGTGGCTCCTCCTGGGCAGAGAAACAATTAAATAGTTAATACAAGTGCAATTTTATTTCTCTGGCTGCCATGGATTGTTTAAAAAAGCATTCTTTGTAAAGATAATCGAGATCTCGCCTTCACTACAACCATGGAGAAGCTACTGATATAACCAAGTTTAATGAAGGTTAATCACCAGGTTGCTAACTAATCCACCCATTCCCTAGGGCTAGACACTCCTATATGCCAAGCAAGAAGAATGACGGAAGCACCTAGAACCCTTTGTAGAAACAAGTCTTTGATTTACACTCATTAGTGACTAACACCGGGTTAATGCCTGTATAAAACAGGGAAGTTTCTATAACACACACATCTCCATATGAAGTCATTTTTCAATACAGACTTAATTTGGTCTTTGTAAAGGCAGCTTTGGCAAGCCATCTATTTGTATATATTTTCAAATACAATTCAGAAGAATTCTGAAAATTTATATATTTTTTGTTTGAGCAACATATTCAGTTTTTTATTTTACTCAAATTACCAAAAAGTGCTCTGTATCACGTTAGCTTAAAACTTAAGAAACAAACATATTTGGAAAATGCACAGAGCTTAACGTTTTCCAAAAAATTTATATATATTATGTAAGTTAATTAGGCAGAATAATACATTTGGATTTATTTGATAGTTTAATAAAATGGGTTCTTTTATTACTGCTGCCCACTCAATTCAAACAAAATGATAGAAAATATTAATTTAAAGAAGAAAGTTAAGTGTTCTGCAATTTCCTGAGATCTGGTTTGATTTACACATTCCTTTGAACAATGTTCTAAGACCCTTCTGGTACACTCTGCAGACCTAAAAAACACATGATTTTGGATTCAATTGTTAATAGATTTATGATGAAAAGACATTATCCTATAATAAGGTTCTTCTTAAGGGACAAACTTTAAATTTGGATTATTTCCTGAACTAATACAGAAAGTAAGTGGTCTTTTGAAATTTACAGCTTATACAGTCAGTCATGCAAACAGTTGGCAATACCGAGTCCTAGGAGGAAGAAATCTTTGAACGCAGAAGCAGATTTCACAGACTACATTTTTCTCCTTTATTTGGGCCATTACGTGGAAGACAGATTATTTTCCAAAATGATTAAGTACTCTCATCAATTAGCCAGCTAGTGTATCAATCCTGAAGGAAAAATGTAACAAGCTCTTCTTCTGTAAGTGCCAGCTGTCAAAAACTGTCAGGGTTAGTCAAAGCTTTTTAATGTTCCAATCAAATCATGATATGAGTGGAAAGTCACTGTACAAAACCCATTAAACTATATTACTAAATGTCCAATGTTACATAAAAACTATAAATAACTTTGTACTTTTAGGGTTTTTATTTTTTCAATTTGCTTTTCTTGAAGTAATAATGATGTTCTGGTTCAGTTAATAAAGTAATTTTGGAACTGCCCTACTGTTTAAACCATATACTCTTTCTGTGTGGAATAAAGATGGCAAACAATAATCAAATCACAACTATAAGCATTCCTTGGAGTATCTGTTAACAATTTTAAAAATTAAGAGAAGAGCATTAAAAAATAGTGAAGGCTAAAAATATTAATCACTAGGCCTAATAATCTTTCAAGTAGACTTCCCTTTGGGGAATAAAATGCTGTTTTTGTGAAGGGCAGCTAGACCTAAGACCTAAGTACTGTATTAGATTTTTGGTGAAAATATTTAATAATCCTTAAATTTAATACAATACTGTAATATGAATACTTACTTAAAAAAGAATAAATCTGACACAACTTTATAATTAATAAATAGCCATGATATGTACACCAAGTTTTATTTGCCTTTAAATAGCACAAATAGAACAAGTATGTTACTCAAAATATTATGTTTTCTTGAATTTTACAGAAGAAAAAGAAATTGAAGTGAAACTGTAGGGATTGCTGAACTTCAGATAAATGTTTCTTCAAAAGAAGAGATATTAGTTCATAAAAAATTCCTCTAAAGTTAAAAAAAGATTAAGAAAAACATTAAGCGATTGGGTTACTATAGTTTTTTAAAAACTACATATTTCTTAATGGACATATGTTTACATTTACAGATAATAAACTTAGTCTCCTGTCTCATAAAACTCAGACACCACCACTGATGTCTAAACTAAGCAACACAGTAGAAGCCTCATTTTCATATTAAAAAGTTTAAAATCTAAATCTACCTTAACATTCCCAAGAAAACTTAATAGGGAATGACTATCAGAACACAAAATTTTGTATAAATCACTTTCAAGAAAAGAAATACATCATAGGATTACGCTTATAGCTAGTAGTATCAACTTAAATCCAATGATGACACAAGAATTCAGAGTATCAGCCGGTCCTCTCCTCCCTCCTGAATTACCTGACCAATGGAAGTTTGGCTTTGTTGTTTCAGAAAGCACTGTTTCTTACATTCCATCAATTGCTCAAAATCACGCCACATTTTTACTTGTTTCATTTTTGGACCATGACTTTCTCGGACAGCTTTTTGTTCTTCGCGGAGTTTCTATTATAAAATGAAAAGAATAATTAAATCTCAGTTACAGGGACTTATTTCTATTGCTATAATCAGAAGAATATGGTATACTTTGTACATTTGATGAATAATAGTTTACTAAACCAGGTTCTCCTATGATGTGTGAAAATTAAGAATATAAAAGTTTATTAAGTTTATGATAGGAAACCTGAAGTTAAAAGGAACAGCAAATTGTAAAGAATGGGAGGGTAAAAAATAAAGGGAATCAGGAAAGTGAACAATATCATGGTGTAGAAAAAGGAATGCAGATTTTGGAGGTCAGAAGACTTTAGTTTCAATTTTGGCTTTGTCACCAGCTTTCAATAAGACAATTTCTCTGGACCTCAGTTTTCTTAATTGTCAATTAAGGCTAATAATAGGGCCAAACTGCAAAAGTGTTTGCATTATAAAATGATTTTTTCACACAGCATAATAGATATGGAAATACTTGATAAACTATCATGTGTTATATGCTATTAAATACTATATTCTTTCTTTAATCAGTGTATGCTCTACATATCCCTAAATAAATCAATTGTATGCATATATTCCTCAGGGAGAAAATCTGGCAATTTTTTTTAAAGTACACTATTAAATAGGTCCAAATCCTTATCAGAATTGTTTTTGTTACTAATAGCCTATATAGTTCCACCTGCCAAAAACTGTTCTACTCAGACTCTAAAATTATACACAGAATAAGAACAATTTTCAAAAAACTGCAAAAATATACTTTGGTTTTACATTATAGCAAATTGAGGAAGGGTGACTGAAAGGAGGGGAAGCACTTAGTCAGAGAGAATGAGAGGAAAGGTGGGAAGGCAGGAGGGAAGGACATGAAGAGTAACAGGGAAGATGACAGTGCACACATAAGGAAACACAGCATGACAGAAACACAGACACTGACACAAGTCTGAGAAATCACCAAGGACAGAAAAACAAGCAAAGACACAAACAGATTACATAGCATTCCCATCTTTTCCTCTTTTAGCATATAGCTGATCTAATAGTTGATATAAGGACACAAAGGAGAAGGACGGTTGGTGATACTTGCCCAAATAAGAGGCTAAACTAAGCTGAGAATCAGGTTCAAACTACTTACTAAAGACTGCCCTCTTAAACTATGGCTAATGAAGCAAAGTTAATAGCAAACAGTAATGGGAAACAAAACAGAATTAAGAAAATATAATTTAAATATAATCTGTAAATCTTTGATACAATACCTGGCATGCAAAAACATCTATTTAAGTTTATGTTACAAATAAAATATCCTACAACAAATATTTTTATCCTCATAAACTAAAGCAAAAGTAGTAAATCAGATCAAGATTTTAAGAGTTTTGGGCATGACTTTAAGATTAAGGTACTACTTAAACTGTAACTTTTCTTATATTATTAGAATAATTTCCTTGTCAAAAATCCTAACAACCTATAAAAGTTATTTAAAGAACTAAAGACAGGATGTGGGCACTGTCTGTGTCAGAAATATTAAATTTAATTTGCTTCATAACTATGTGTGTTTGAAACCTTAACTTTATGAATACAAGTAACTTTAGTATATATTTTTAATGTTACTGTTGCTTAATACAGATTTACTTTGTTGACAGCTGCAATGTACAAAATACACTTGTCACAGATTTCATTGTTCTTTAAGTAGGGAGGTGATATGGTAGAGGGCAAATTGCAACTTTCAGTACAATACATCAATATATGATAGTGTAAATTGTGGCACTATAGATAGGTCTAATTTCAGAAACTCAGTTGGCTTGAGGAGATCTGTGGCTATCCAGTTTATGCTGGTTTGGAAGGCTTAGGCTACCATTACTTTGGAAGGCTAGTTTTGTTCTGTGTTTGCTTTGGAACTTTAGATCTACTCTAGGAGTGAAGAGGATTGAGGAGCTTTCTTTCTGAAATGACATAGCATGACAATTGGGAATGAGCTCATCTTGCTGAAATATACTTGATGTCAGACTGCTGTATCCCAAAGATCCTGCAGTAAAACTTAACTATACTAGAAGGAGAAAGAATAATCATTAGTCATATTTAGCAAATAAGTTTGGGTCTTTAAAAGGATTCTGGGGGGCGGAGCTAGGATGGCGGCGTGAGTAGAGCAGTGGAAATCTCCTCCCAAAAGCACATAGATCTATGAAAATATAACAAAGAAAACTCTTCCTAAAATAGAGACCAGAGGACACAGGACAACATCCAGACCACATCCACACCTGCAAGAACCCAGCGCCTTGCGAAGGGGGAGAGGAAGGCCACAAACCAACAAGAAGGGGAGCTCTTCCAGCGGTCACTCATACCAGCTCTGCAAACTATCTCTATCACCATGAAAAGGCAAAACTACAGGCAGACAAAGATCACAGAGACAACACCTGAGAAGGAGACAGACCTAACCAGTCCTCCTGAAAAAGAATTCAAAATAAAAATCATGAACATGCTGACAGA